TATATCGAAACATTGCTTCCTCTGAGATTCCAGATTTTTTTGTTTGGAGACAATTATGTTTCTAAACTTAAAGAAATTGGAGACATTACAAAGTAACCAATCGGACTGAAATTAAATTATGATATAAATTATAAAGTTAAACAAAAACCTGCATGTCAAGACAGGGGTATCAACCTATCACAAACCAGTACAGAGGTAGAAACCGCCAGTATGCATACCCTTCCCAGAGAGGCAGAGGTCAAAGGGGCCAATACAGAGGCACAATGAAGAAACCATACAGTTACAACAAGTAAAGTTGAGAAAGCTTAATAAACCTTACTGGCAAAAATCTACCTACGATAAATGGATTTTAAACACAATTGATCCAGGATAAAAATTGAATTTTTTCAGCAACCCTTTCAAAAAGACATTCCAAAGCAAATTCAACTTAATGCAGTAGAATCTGAATTGGTATCACAAGAAATAAAACAATTGATTGATAAAGGTGCAATTGATTGATTGATTGTATGTTGTTTAAAGCCCCTCTCGAGAATTTTTCACTCATATGGAGACGCCACCACTTGCCGGTGGAGAGCTGCAAATTTTGTCCTATATTCGGCACTTACGCCATTGAGCAGTGAGGGATCTTTTACGTGCCAGCACCTACTGCGACACGGAACCTCGGTTTATACGGTCTCATCCGAAGGACCGGTCTCCACGTCCCACAGTGGGATTCGAACCCGCGACATAAGGATCAACTCCCTACTTCGGGACTCTAGAGCAGACGCTCTAACCACTGCGCCACGCGGGCGACCAGGTGCAGTTGAAGTAGTATAAGATATTTCGTATGCCTTTATTTCAAATATTTTCTTGTAACAAAAAAGATGGTAATCTAAGACCAATCATAAATATAAAACATTTAAATGAATTTGTTGCGATATTATCATTTTAACAAGAAAATTTATCATTTGCTTTAGAACAGATTCAGAAAGATAATTATTTTACTTCGGTTGATTTAAAGGATGTTTATCTTAGTGTCAGTGTTCACCCAGATTACAAGACATTTCTTTTTTTTTTTTTTTGGAATGGAAAAAATTCAGATTTGCAGTTTTACCTTTTGGGTTAACATCATGTCAAAGAATATTTACAAAGATATTGAAACCTGGTTATGCATTCTTTAGGGGAAATTGTATAAGATGTTATTATTACATTGATAATTCCCTAATCATGAATGGACATTTTTCTATATGTCAAGAAAACAAATAAAGTTACCTCGGAATTAAACAGTTTTGGCTTTAAAATCAATGATAATAAAAAAAAAATCTGTAACCATCCCTTCGCAAAGAAGTGTTTTCTTTGGGGTTATTTTAGATTCAGTTGATTTTAAAGTCTATTTGACAGATGAAAAATAGAGATTTTAATCCAAAGCCAAATTATTCTGTCCAATCCAAGAATTCAGATAAGACAATTGGCCTCATTGAAAGGTTTATTGGTCCATACGTGTAATGCAGTTTTTCAAGGTCCTCTGCATCACAGGACTTAAGAAGGAGATAAAGATCAAAATCTGAAATAAACAACGGTGATTATAATTCATTTATGATTTGTTCTGCTGAGAGTATCAATGAAATAAAACGGTGGTGTAAAAATTTACAAACACTAATTGGAAAAGATATCAGATCTAGACCAATTGATTTATGAGTGGAGACTGATGCATCCTTGCTAGGTTGGGGTACTAAATTTCAAAACAAAATGACAGGAGGTAGATGGACATATTCAGAATTATCATACCTTATAAATGTTTTAGAATTGATGGCTGTGTATTTTGCTTTTAAATCATTTTTAAAGAGTACAATTCAAAACATTTGTTTTAAAACTGACAATACAACCGTGGTTTATTACATTAATGCAATAGCTAGAATGCATTCAAAACAGCTCCATGATCTTTCAGTCAAAATTTGGAACTGGTGCATAAAACGTGTTATCATTATTTTGGCCCAGTTTTAGCCTGGGTGTGAGAATATATATGCTGATGCACTTTATAGGGAATTTGCTGATTCTACGGAATGAATGTTAAAACATATTTTCTTGAGAATTTGCAAACAACTTTTTAATTCAGACATAGATCTATTTGCTTCACGTATTAATAAACAATTGGGAAAGTTTGTTTCCTGGAATTTTGGATCCTGATGCATATCACACTGATGCTTTCACTTTATCTTGCTCAAACGTACGTCTATATGTTTTTCCACCTTTTGATTAAATTAATCGGTAGAATAATCAATACAAGATGCCCATGGGCCACATCGCTCACCTGAGCACACTAGCTAGGGAGAAGCAGAAATCGGTTCAGTATTGAAAAGTTCTAATAAGAGGGGGGGGGGGGGACTTAAATTTACACTACCTCAGGATGATTCTATATCAATATTGGCTTTGCTGTTCTTAAACAGAAGAATTTTAAAAGATTTTTTCCCCATGTTTTCCTATTAAAAACTCTGATTGCTCATTTTAGCTCCACCCTACCCACCGTAAATTTGAATCTACACTACCGGAGGATGCTTCTATAATAATATGACTAATCATGACTTTGCTGTTCTTGAGCAAAAAGATTTTTTGAAGATGATTGCTATATATTCTTATGCAAAAACTTGGACCCTCTGTTGGGCCCCCAACCCCGGGGGGGGGGGGGGTCATTATTTAAACAAACTTGATTCTACAATACCTAAGGTTGCTTCTGTATAAATATGACTAATAATGAGTTAGTTGTTCTTCAGAAAAAGATTTCAAAGATATTTCCTATGTAATGGTATGATCAGCTCTACTATATAGGTTTTCCTTTACTCTGTCTGAGTTAAGGATTGGAATGATTATTAAGACGCTCTGTTTGAGGGTTTATCACACAGTACTTAAATTTCTCTCATCTAGAGATGGGGACTGAGGAAGGTGCTACTTGCACCGTGTTTCTCCCCTAGAATCCCATTGATAGATAAGAATCAGTTGTCTCAATCTTCTTCAGATTTACTACACCCAGAGCTTAACATCGATTCCCTAGGATACTTGCCACTGGTGTTTATAACTTTTATTTTGCTCTTACCCTTAAGGTTTTCCATCCTCTATCCATAACATAATACTCTGATATATTAATTTTAAGCATTTTACAGTAGAAAATGATTTACCAAGAGAAAGTTTTAAAGATGTAATTAACTAAGCAGTACGTACTTAAAGGTCAACTGAAAAGGTTTTCAAAGTCTGTTTAAACTACTTATTTAGGAAGTTGATACCTAAAAAAGATTTTTTTTTTTTACCCGTTGAAACACAGGTAAAAATTTCTCATATCCGAAGCTCAAGTAAAACGGTCCGATATGAGATATCTGCCCTTTAGTGGAACATGGCGTCGCCCATAATGTACGAGTCTAACGAAAGTGACACGGACGAAAGTATACCTGAAATAGACTTAACCCTTAAACTGACTGTGCAGCCGTATCAATAAGAGCCAGTTAAAAGACAAGAAACAACAAGACAGCCGTTTGACGATGAAAGTGACTCGGGGGAGTCGGCACAAGGCAGCGTCCATAGTGATGATGAAATCTCTGAACAACTGCCGTCAGACATGCACTGGTATACAGTCATACATGTATTTTAAGTATTAACTTAAAGTATATGAAATGATCAGCATAAAAAAAAGTTTAAGAACCTTGAATTTAGAGGTAGATTTTAAGTATGCTGATTCTAGGATTAGTACTTCCATGTTCATATTGGTATACTGGTCCTACACGTAAACACGATAGGACAGCTTTTGCTGGACGAGAATAAATTAAAAAAAATAGGGCTTCAAAGCCTATGGAGATATAAAATATAGTATGAATTTAAAGAAATTTAATTGTTGTATGGACAGTGTAAATTGGACTACATTTACTACTAAGTATTTTTCATGAATTAACATTTATATAGTTATATTCATGAAAAGTATACTTTATTTACATGAATGCTAAAAATTGCAAATATGGGCGGTAACATTTTTTATTTTGGGAAGCAGGTGTTCCTGTAAAAATTGCATTACTATGCCAACTGCAAGAGAATGCAAATGTTGCCGTTTTTACGCTGCTATTGAGTCAAGGTTGGAAGAGAGAGGAGAGACCTGCGTCACAGAACATGAGGGTTTTGCAGCAAACTGTCTCAACAGATGGGTTTTAGAGACATCCTTTTATGAATATCTAAAACATGGACCACTGGAAGAAAATGAATTAGTACACAAGTAGGTTTTTTTGTACATGTAAAATTGTAAAATGTAATCTTGATAATACAAATAAAGAAGTACTATACATGCATGTAAATACCTCTGGTCATTCTGATTGAAAGGAATATTTAATACTGTCTGAACTTATGGAGCACTCAAAAACAGATATACTTTACAATTCTAGAAAGTATTTTAAATGTCATCTTTTTAATGATCATGATTTTATGTCAAAGGATTTGGAATAAAATTAAGCAATTGTTTACTTGTAAGCATGAATGTTTGTGTGTGGATTGGGAGGGGGGGGGGGGGTTGTACCCGGTACTGCAACTGTAAAGACATGCATTATAGATTATACCTTTCAAATAATAGCTTATTTAAAACAAAACAAAATTACTGAATCTAACTGCAAGTGTCGTTAGTTCTGATTATTTTTAAAAAGTTTGTCTGTTCTTAGTGTTTACAGGCATCTGGCATATCGACGATTTGTGCGATGGATATGGCAATGTTTGGGGAAAAACAACAGGAAGATGTTGCCATCATGTGTAGTAACAAAGATTAGAACTGCATTTCCATCTCAGCAATACTGTGGGTTTAGGTGTCGAACAGGAATGTCCTAGGTACACATATTTGGGGGAAAAAAAACAATGGACTCTTTTTAAAGGATTCCAATATAAACAAGCAACTTCATTATCCCTGTATTCATGACACAAAAGACATAATTTTATTTTTACAAGCTTAGAATATTATTGATGTTTACAAGCTTAGAAAGTTATTGACATTTGAGCACAATTCATTTTGTTTGTTCATGATTGTATGGTAAACTAACATTTTTTATTAAACCGACAGATATGGCGCTCCACAAGTTCTGACTTTGGGACATGTTGGTACGAGGATGCAATTGGAGCAGGACAGTTCACCATGGCAGCCTCACGACTCTTTCTGGACTCACTGTACGAACCAAACTCCAGTCTCACTTTGATCACTTCTTGTATCAAAACCATTGCATAATCTTTAAACAAACAGAGAAATAAATTTTAAAGAAATGTATGTTAATACAATGTATGAATAAAATTAAGACACACTATTACATACTAAATGTATTAAGTTATAGGAAAAGTTTTAGAATTTTTACTTACTGTATGTTTGCTTTACTTTGACTTCCTTTGGAATGCCAGCTCCATTTCTGCCTTTTGGATATGACACAGAATAAATTAGCTCTCCACTTTTGTTTACAGCTTGATCCCGGCTGGAGTTTTCATTGAAGTGCAGGGCTGCAATGTAAAGTCTGGAAAAAAGAAGAACAGTGGATTTCATGAATTATGATTAAAATCTTTTCTAAAAAATTCTGAGCATTTGAGTTTTGAATAAAAGAAAAAAAAAATACTTACCTGGCCTTCATTGTAGCATAAAAGAAATGCAAAGATTTGGGTGCAAAATGACACACTACAATGTGGTAGGCTTCAGGTGCTGAAGTTTGCTCTGCAGGGGAGAGTTTCTTAATGTCTTGTACCAGCAGTCTGCCCTTAACAACTTTTTCCATCTCCTGGAAAGCTAGACTACCTGAAATAAGGATACTTTTTTTGTAGTTTAGATCAATATTGCTTCATAACAAAGTACAGACTTTCATATATTTATGTATTGTAGAATATATATGTCACATAATTACACTGTATATCTGCAAAGTACAGACTCAAAATTTTTTTTTTTACAAGCCCATGCTTACATAGTTACCTTTCTTAATCCAATCTCTGTCCTCCAGGTCACCATGTAAGCACTTGGGGAATCGCTTCCCATGACCCTCATGAACATCAGTGATGTGGTTGAGGATAGACAGCCATTTCTCAGACACCAATTCACCATCTCCTTCACTAGATGCCGCACTCCAGTATAGGTGGTTTGAAACTGACCGGGCCCAATCACCCACTTGCTTGTACTTCTTCTTCTTCCCAATAGCCTCCAACTTTTTAAACACCCCTACAAAACACAAATACATGTAATTTTTAAATGATAAGTATATATAGCTATTCAGGTAAATAACTTTAATTAGGAATACCTAATGCATTAATGAATTGTATAAAACTGTAAAGTGAGTTTACCTTTGGCCATATGCCACACATCAAACCAATGGTTGATCTCATTTCTTTCTTTTTTCATGTAAGCTTTAATCTGGGGATGTCTGTCAGTAACAAGGTCACTAATAACTACTCCCTCCTCTTCCACTCTCTTAAGGCACCTCGTCAAACCCTCCATTTCCATCCAATATGAACTTTTGACTTCATTGCTCTTAAAAAGTTAAGCATATAATGTTTTGAGAACTCATTTTAAACATGGCATGCTATTCAGTGCTGAATGTTGATGTCAACATTTCCACTTTTGGGCAAGTAATATATGCATGCAAGTGCAGTAAGGTAAAAAATAACAATAAAAGGTATTGCACTCTTCTTACCTGAACTAGTTGAACATCAAGTATCTGTCTCAGCTCCAGATCCATCAAACAAAATGATCCATATTTAGCTGTGTGTCCTGGTGAACAACATCTAGCATCTCCCCCAACAACAACAGCTACATTTTGTTGTCTTATTACATATTACAAATATTGCATCTTGATGTGCTTTCCAAACCCTTTCAACAGCTGGTACAAGATAATGCTGTTGGATGTTGTGATAGGTTCTCTCTGAGAAACGGATATATTAGCATGTTGAAACATGGTCAAACTTTGATTTATGCTACTGCCACTAATCAAAATTGCTGCTGACAAGACCAAGTTTCCAGTAGGAATTGATCCAGTGAAGGGTTGTGATCCCCATGTGAAAGTCTCCCCACAGACATATACCCTGGACACAAACAACAGAGTTCCAACTGTGGTTTTCTTAATGTCACACTTCTGTCCACAAATTGAACAAATCTGGAGAAGCTGGTCTAAACATTCTTCAAATACAATAAATTTTCTGCTACAGTGACTTGGAGGAACATGATGATGATCTATGTTGTTTTCATCAAGATCAGGTGGAATCCATTCTGAAGCTGCAGAATCTGTGCTGGCCAGTGACTCGAAGCTCTCGTCAAGTTCCTCAGGTGCATCCAATGAAAACATTGTTTCTGTTTGGGTACCAGTCGATATTGTACTGGGCCGAATCTCTGTCTGTATAGAGACATGTCTGCGTTTCTAAAAGTCATGAAGTAAAATTAAAATGAGACATATGAAAATAATTTAATTAAAATATTTTCTCTATAATAAATTGATAAATTCAAAATGTTCGGTTTCAATCAATAGCAAATCAATACAAATGAAACAAAACTTACCACCAACCCATAATTAGTCTGTGTAGACATTTCAAAAGTCATTGTGTGTGCTCCACTTTGACAGCTTGGTTCTGTGTTTAGAGTCTCTGGGCTGTCCTGAAACTGGTTCAGAGGAGGAAGAATAATCTCTGTATCTTCATTAAGGTTCTGAGCCTGATTAAGATTACAAATATTATTAAAAGTTTACCATATTGTGATTAACTTTTCAGTACAGGTAACGTTATATAGGCCTATATATTTTTAAATTTAATTTGTTTATTTACCAAGGCCCCATAGGGCAAAAGGAAAGTTCATTGTAAACACCTGTATATTATCATTATATATATAATTCATGCAGGTATTGTAATGAAATTCGTCATTTAAAGTACAATGTATGTGGACAATTGTACTCTCTACACCACAACTAATAATTGGAACAAATATAGATGCATCAAAATTTCGTAAATCCATTTCAAAACTAAAAAAAAATACTGCGAGTGCACGTCTTTTCTCCAGAACTTTCTATGTCCGACCTTGTTTTGGTACATAGGAAACATCTACATCTGTTGTTTTCCTTTTATGGCCTTTAATGGCTTTAGTATCCAATGGAGTATAGTCAAACATGCTAGGTATGGCATCTTTTTTTAACTGGAGTCGACTATACCCCATGCATCGCGCTCTGGAAGGCTCAATTATAAAACAGTCTGGGGTAAAATGCCGCTCGCAAAGCTTTGAATGTTTGGATGGCCAATAATTAATGGTTTTTAGCTTTCTTACCCGAATCTGGCATAATTTGGGATCCTCGGGGAAGGCAAACATAGACACACCCTGTCCGTATCGGACACAGCACCATATTTTATTTCATGATCCCCTATCGTCTGAAACATGACGTTTCAGCGTCTGTAGTTTCAATATGGCGGGTTCGTGTCAAGGGGCATAACTCGCACAAAATTTTAGGTCAGATTTCAGGTGTGACAACTTTTACCGTAAATATTTCGGAAATACATTAAGATATAACCGAATAACTAATATAGTTTAAATTCTATGGTTTACTTGAAGATAATAAGGGGTTAATTAAATGAAAGTGAAAAATCTTTTCAGTTGACCTTTAACAAAGATTGCATTGAGTCTTTTGAGCAATTAAACAAATCAAATAATATTATATAAATAGTGCACGTTTTTGAGGGTAACAGTTGAAATTGACACCCCAAGGAAAACCATTGTCAACCGACGCGTCAGCGGAGGTTGACAATGGTTTTCCGAGGGGTGTCAATTTCAACTGTTACCCTCAAAAACGTGCACTATTTATTTTATTATACTGAATGTCTTATTGATTTCGGATGTCATAAAAAAAATTCGGAGATCGTCGTTAAGTTCACGCTTAGAAAGCTTTCAAACTCCCCGCTTCTATTTTTCTCAATAAGAAAGCTTCGGAAAAGATTTACCAACCTCTCTATTGTTTGTTTGCTACTCAAAAAGTCCTTTATCATCTGAAGTTTGCACTCGCAAGGATGTTTCGTCTGTCGTTTGTTGTTTTCAAGTAAGCTACATCGGACGCAAGCTTTTATTGACGTCGTTTATTCGGCTTCTTTCAAACGCACAACCGACGTTTTGAGAATTCTACGGTGAACCGTACGCGCATGATTTGAACGCATGTGATATTTTCGTAATGTTACCCGTTGTCAAGTGTGTTGCTAACGCTGAGGGTAACATTACGGATTGTTAAATGCGTCTAAACCAATCAGATTTTAGTATTTAACATGAAAGTATAATAACAATAAATACTGTAGTGGAAAAATGCACTATTAAGACACATTAGAAATAGAATGACAATTGAAAACGATTTTTTTTTTACCAGAGAAGTTTCTTAAAATAGAATTTTTATGCCCCCGGATCGAAAGATCCCGGGGGTATATTGTTTTTGTCCTGTCTGTCTGTTTGTCTGTCTGTCTGTTGTCAATTTTAACCTTGCCCATAACTTTTTATTGGTTGGAGCCATGACTTTCATATTTCACATGTGTATTTCTTGTGACAAGACCTTTCTTTGGGTATCATCATATTTGACCTTGACCTTGGAGTTTGACCCACTTTTGCAAAATGTTATGAGACTTTAACCTTGGCCATAACTTCTGAACAGTCGGTGCTTTGGGTTTCAAACCTCACATGTGTATTCTTTGTGACAAGGCCTTCCTTAGGATACCAACAACTTTGACCTTGACCTTGGAGTTTGACCTACTTTTGAAAAATTTTAACCTTGGCCATAACTTTTGAACAGTTAGTGCTTGGGCTTTCATACTTCACATATGTAATCATTGTGACAAGACCTTCCTTTGGATATCAACCACTTTGACTTTGACATAGGAGTTTGACCTACTTTCGAAAAACTTTAACCTTGGCCATAACTTTTGAATGGTTGGTGCTAGGCCTTTCATACTTTACATATGTAATCCTTGTGACAAGACCTTCCTTTGGATACCAACAACTTTGACCTTGACCTTCATGTTTTACTCACTTTTAAAAAACTTTAACCTTCGCCATAACTTTTGAACAGTTGCAGCTAGGGCTTTCAAATTAAAGATTTTTTATCTTTTGGCCTGGATTTTGACTTGCATTTGAGAAACTTTAACCTTCGCCATAAGCTGCCATACGGGGGCATCAGTGTTTCACAAACACATCTTGTTATTTGTTATTATTTAATGAATACCTTGACTTCTTTATTGCCGATTCATCATCCAACTTCTACATCTACCTTATGAATGCCTGATTTTCCCAAAGCTTTGCCTTATATACCCTGAGGCTAGTATATTCCAAGGGTTGACAGGTCATTCCACTATTTGAAGTCTTCAATGCGTTTTACTCAAATGCCCCTTAACCAGTACACCTATCTATGCCTATGTAAACCTTGACCCACTGTTGTGGCCCCGCCAACTATTGAAATAACGACCACTGTTGAAATAATTATTTCAATAGTAGTTGAGAATGCATTTCAAAACCAAACACTGGTTGTAACCATTATTGAAATAGTCGCCCGCGGGGCGCAGTGGTTAGAGCGTTTGCTCTAGAGTCGCGGAGTAAGGAATCCCACTGTTGGACATGGAGACCGGTCCTTCGGATGAGACCGTATAAACCGAGGTCCCGTGTCGCAGTAGGTGCTGGCAAAAAAATCCCTTTCTGCTGAATGGTCGTAAGTGGCGAGTACAAGTCAAAATTTGCAGCTCTCCACCAGCAAGTGGTGGCGTCTCCACATGAGTGAAAAATTTCAAACTTGAAGATTTATGCACTGTAGAAAGGAATACGCACATTGTGCACTTTATGTATTGTACATTACATTGAATTCGCACATAAATCCAGAATTGGTTAGTAACCACAAAAAGCACACATTTTCCTTAGGCCTTTTCAAAATTTTTAATCTCATAAAACATATCGAGGGGTAATTAAAGCTGCATGTAATGTATCAATGTTGTAAATTTTAAGCCAGTATAAATCTGTGGGCAAAATTTGTTTGAAGTAATTCTTAATATAAAATATATACCCTGATTTTACTGGGGAGGAAAAGCTGTGTTTTGACTTTTTCTTGCTTCTTTTTCTCTTGTTCAGGATTTGTCTTCGAGCTTGACCCCGTTGAAGCTGACTGACTCGATGCTGGCTGACTGGATGAAACGAACAGCTGCTTTACTTTTATAGGTGCTGGCGAATGCACAATGTAATTTTTTTTTATATTTCGGATTTCATATTTTGGGCTGCTCTACATATAGGTCACCTTAATATTTTTGTCGTAAGGTTCTAATTAACTCGTATCTATCAGCATAATCAAGAATTTCTAGGAGCTGGTCAAAAACCCCGAAAGTTTCCCCATATAAAGTTCGACATTTTTTCGACAATTGGCAAAGACGACAGCATAGGTTGACACTGGGCGCCGCCATTAACCGAAATAAAAAACGTATTTGATTAGGGCAATTTGATTGGAATCCCTGGAACGTTAAAGCGCAAGGATTTGAAAGCTTAGCTAAATCTGCAAAGGGGGAGAAGAGGGTACTGGACACTTGGCGAACGTAGATGAGGTTTCATCAAAGGAGAATGTACAAGGCATTCTAGAAATACTAATGACCCATCAACCCTTAAAACAGTTGTACAGGATTCCAAGGGAAATCTTTCAAAGAGAGGCTATTCTGACGAAGAAATTAACCCAGTAGTTGAAGAAACAACACAAAAGGAAAGACAACTCTTTTTAAGAAATAGAGAAAAAAA